TTTGTCCTAATAATATAGATGGTCCTTCTACTAGTAACGCCAATCCAGACTATTTTGCTAATCAGAGGGAAATGAAAGACAAGTTAGGGAGGCCTATAGTGTTTCTTGGGAAAGCACAAGTTTGTAATAACTTTAACGCGGGAGGGATGTAGTTACAGCGCTTGTAGATTACTCCACGTTTGCTCAATCTGTTTCAGAGCACATGCATAAACTATGTGTCCAAACAAACTGTTCCCTAAGAAAGCAATGACCCCAATAAACGTACCCAATTTACAACGTTACTTGACTGAACATCCTTCTTCACAGCTGGCTGACTTTCTTATCTCGGTTTCACTAGAGGCTTTCACACGGGTTTAGTAGCACTCCCTTCAGGCATACTAGAATGCCCCAACCTACAGTCTGCAATAACAGACCCAGCCAGTTTAACAGATCTTCTTAACAAAGAAGTAGAATATGGTTTTATGATAGGACCCTTCACCATGCCACCTTTCACTTCCTGGAGAACAAGTCCACCAGGTATAGCCACGGGCAAATTTAATAACAAAAAGAGGTTACTAATCGATTTCTCAGCACCTCACTCTTCCACCTCCCCAAGTTTAAATTCCCTTATACCCTCAGAAGACTTCTCACTACAATATGCAAAAATAGACAATGCCATCCAAGCCGTCGTCAACTTTGGTAAGGCAGCCTGGTTGAGAAAATCGGCTATCACAAATGCTTTCAAACTTCTACCAATTAAGCAGTCACTCTGGCATCTACATAGCGTTAAGTGGGAAAAGAAGTACTATTTTGCAACTAGGCTGACCTTCGGCTCCAAAAGTAGCCCAATTTTTTTTTACATATTCGCAGAAACCTTGAATTGGCTTCTACTTAACAAGTCCAGGTGCCCATTAGTAATCCACTACCTCGATGATTTTCTATATGTTGAGCCTCACTACTACACACCACGCAGTATAAAAAGTGCACTCTCCCTGTTTAAGGAATTAGGAGTCCCGGTAGCTCCAAATAAGACAGAAGGTCCCAGTACAGAAATAACTTTCCTAGGCATCACACTCAATTCTGTAACTATGCAAGCTAGCCTCCCTCAAGTCAAAGTAGACAGGATTCTAACTCACATTCACACCTGCACCAATCATGGGTCATGCACCAGGAAAGAGTTACAGTCACTTTTGGGTTCTCTTAACTTCGCCATGAGAATTATCCCTCAAGGCAGGTCTTTCATCTCTAGGTTACTTTCTCTTCTACACAGCCTTCCTGACGACGACACTAAGATTAATCTAGATGATCCTAAAAATGTGGAATCTATTTTGATCCTCATGGAATGGTAGGTCATTGTTCATTCCCCCCATCTCTGACGAATACCTGGTTATCTGGACAGACGCTGCAGCTACCGTCGGGTACGCTGCAATATTCGAGGATGAATGGGTATATGACAGTTGGCCAGCCGAAACAGTTACACTAGAGAAATTTGACAAAACCTCAGCATTGTTCAAAATCTTCCCGATAGTGGCAGCAGCACACATTTGGGGAGAAAATTGGAGGGGTAAAGCAGTTAAGTGTTATTCTTACAACATAGCAGCTTGTAACATAATTAACAAAGGCCGCTCTCAGTCCCTGTCAATAATGAATCTAGTAAGGAAACTTACATGGTTGGCAGCAAATTTGCAGTTTTACATTTGTTGTATCCATGTTCCAGGTGTTTTCAATAACGCAGCTGACGCTTTGTCACGTTTTAATTTACAGGAATTTTTCAAACTGCACCCTACGTCGAACAAGCAACCCAAAACTCCTCCACAATTCAAAGACCTAATCATGCATTAAACCAGTTACTAGCTCACAGTAGAATTCTCGCACAGGCAGTTTTGTCAGTGAACACTAAAAAAGCATACGTTAAAGCATTTGACATGTTCAAAAAATTGGTTCGGGGCTTTAACATAATAAATAATTTTCCTACCGGTTCCAAATGGTATCCAGTTCTAATGCTGGATTATTTGATAATAAATCAGCAAATTAGTAGAATCCAGAACTGCCTCTGTTGGCCCTACCTACCGGTTCCAAATGGTATCCAGTTCTAATGCTGGATTATTTGATAATAAATCAGCAAATTAGAAATCCAGAACTGCCTCTGTTGGCCCTACAAGGAAAGCCACTTACTACTAAACAGTTCATGCTATTCTTTGTTTCTTAGACTTGGCCTCAATCCAAATTCCTTCTCAGGACCCTCATTCCGTATTGGGGCTGCCACTACAGCCTCAAGTACTCAGGTTCCAACACATATCATAAAGGAAATGGGTCGCTGGAAGTCTTCAGCATACAATCGGTACATTCCAAACCCAGAGAAAGAAATCAGACTTGCCTTCTATAATATGTCTAAATAATGTTGTTGTTGTTGTTGTAATAAATAAACATGTTTACATACTTTTGGCCCTCTATTTACAGGCCTAACCTCTCGTCGGTTTTGGCACACCTTAACCGAATCTTATTTATCAAAACTACACTCACTTTAAGTGTACGCCCCCTTTCATAATCCCGTACACAAATAGAAAGCGTATGCCTGAAGTTGTGGGAGGGATTTAAGGCCTATATAAACCCAGCAAACCACTTGCTTACCTGTCTTCGTCGATTCCGGAAATTCCCCTCCCACCACACCCTATTTACATATCAATATATCCGGGTGGGCCCTCTTTTTACAGGCCTAACCTCTCGTCGGTTTCGGCACACCTCAACCAACTCTTTAAGTGTACGGCCCCTTTCATAATCCCGTACACAAATACATATACACACACACACAATATAAAATGTGCATTATACATCGAGTACATACAGAAACAGTGCTTCGTTCATCTGGCACACAAGGTCATCTAGTAATGAGGATAGGAATATCGTTGTATACACCAAAACCGTGGATAGGTTAACTTGCGTCAACAGTACACCTTGCCCTATATGGTTATCATGTATCTTCAATGCAGTGATAATACGTTAATAATACAGGGGTGTATTGCAACATATGTCTTATCTCACACCTGATTTCCATGAATCCCACATGTCCCATGCATTTAAAGAAACTCGTGTGAGTGGGAATAATTTCTTCAGACCCTTCTCATACAAGCTTTGGGTGTCTAATTCAGCAAGTAACAGCCAAAGAGGTAGTGCCAGCGTTAATTTCCAGGCTTGTGCAATTAGCCTCTGCACTGTTAATGCTATGTGCATCATTATTTTCTGTTTTAATTTGGGTATCCCTGTGGGTAGATCTAGTAGTAATAATAATTGCTGGGACGATAGAGGTATCTCATACCCAGTCACTTCTTGGACTGTGTCGTGCACACTTTTCCATAAAGGTTGATGTGACAAGACCAATCTCACCACTGTGCATTGGAGGAGCCTGGTTGCCCGCCTGCTGCCTTTAGACTATTGCCCCATTTTGAAACGCTTGATTTTCTCCTGCGAAGACACGAAAGCCAGGTCATTCGGTGCTGGCCCTGTTTGAGTGGTGATACCCCAGATAGCTATGCCATGGAGCCCATTCGTATAATGAAAGGCTATGGGAAAGACTTTGACTCCATGGCAATTGAACTCTGTGTGTGTGCTCTGAGCGCCATTCAGTAATAATGTGCGCTCAGATCTGAGCTATCTGGGGATATGTTGAATGTACCTGTTTTGTGCAATGGCTGCACAGTTATATATTTTTATGTGTTTTATTGTCTTTTGCTGCCATGTGTTCAATGGAGTTTTTCCTCTGTCCTTGGAGATAATTGGATTACTTCCAAAATTATCTCCAGGATAGAAGACTCTGTGGAACTGGTTTTGGACAGAAAAGCCATGCTTCATTTGGTCACAAAGGACTTCGATATATCTTTTGAGCCAATGGACCAATTTGGATGATTTTGACATATGTTTGTATTTGGAGTATGCTGATTCTGAAAATGTAAGTTTCATGTGAATGTAATGCATACTTTTCAAGCTATGAATAATGTGGAAAAACTGTATTTCTCTGGCTGTGATAATTACATTACCCATTGTGTAAGGTAATTTTATCACCGGCAGAGGGGAGAATTTTGTGTGGGAGTGTCTGAGTGTATTGTACATGTTTATTGGTTGTTTTCCAAAACAATGTGTAAGAATGTGTACATAAGAACAATAAACCCACAGCTCTGTCTTGACCGTCAACACGGAGCTTTGTCTCGTTCTTGGGGGAGATTTATTGTATGCTGTTCCAGTTCGACTGCTAGGAGTGTAAACCTATTCGTATGGTTTTTCCTATTCGGCTGTTTACGGCATTCATATGGTTTCCTGTTTGGCGCATTGGTGTTCTGCAGTAGCTGTGCCTGTGTCTCTTGCAGGGAAGATCTACTAAACGGCTGTTTAACCCTTTTATGCCTGGGGGTGCCGTTACAGTTGGATTGTTTGACAAGTCCACCATATGTGGAGGGCAGTACCTTCCTCATTATTACAGCGCCAACATGTGGCCATTGTGGTTGAGTACAATTTATGTAGTCTACTTGGTACCATGTACCATCTATAGACCGTTTTATAGTGCTGTTCGATATGGGTGGAAGATTTGTTTTTTTGTAATCGTGATCCTCAGGTACTTAATATTATCTGTTCTCCATTCGAATGCATATGACCGTTGGAGGGTTTTGACAAAGGCAGCTGGCAAGGCAATGCACAGGGTTTAAATTTTTAATGTGTTTAACGAGTAGTAGGACACCTTGCCATAATCTGAGATTAGTTGCATAATCTTAAGTAGCGTATCCTGTGGCTGTGTTATATAAAGGAGAATATCGTTAGCAAATGCCTTTATTTTAATTTCCCTGTCACATACTGTCATGCCATGGATCTCGGTATGTGACTGAATAGCCTCTTACAGGGGCTCCAATGCCAAGACAGTGCAATGGGGAGAGTGGGCAGCCTCCCGTGTCCCATTGGAAATATTAAAAGGGGAGGAGATAAAGCCTGTTTGGAGCACCTGTACTGTGAGTACAGTGCAAAAATGTGATATATTACTCAGGGGACCCCAGAGCCCCTCTCAGGAAGGGCCAGCCAATGTGGTCAAACTCCTTTTCAGTGTCTAAAACTATCAATAGGCCACCCTGCCTAGCACCCCTAAGATCTTCTATCTCTTGTAACGAGATGGGTCTGAGCAGGTCGTCTAGTTGTGTTTGTTTAATTTGTGGGAGGTCAATGTCTTCGAAGAATGAGCGTATTTCCAAGTCAGTGGGGTTGTGAATATTAGGGTCATCTTTCAAGTTATAAAGCTTGGAGTAGAATTGGGCAAAAGTATCGCTAATCTCCTGGAGGCCTAGTCGTTTGGTCCCATCTGCTCCGGTGATGTGAGCAATTTGTGTATTTTGGTTGCTAGTTCTGGTGTTGGACTGGCCTTGTTCTGCTCCAACAGGGCTGCTATCTGTTTATGGCAAAGGACAAGTTCTGCCTGGTGTTGCTTTTATTATATGAAGACCTTCTGAAAAAAAAAGGCTCGAACGACCGCCTTATGGGCCAGCCAGACCGAGATATCCGAGGCCTCTCCTGCACTGTAAGGCAAAAGTAGTTCTGATTCTATGTAGAAGATGAAGGTGTCATCTGCGAGCAAAGGCTTGTTGAGTCTCCAGTTACTCTTGCCTTTAAATTGGAAAGAATCATGCAATGTCAGGTAAACAGGACAGTGGTCAGACCAGGCAAAGGAACCAAAGTACAATCAGATAGTTGGGCGAGGGACGTATTGTCCAAAAGGTATGTATCTATACGGGAGTAGGTGTTGTGAACCGCGGAGTGAAACGTATAGGCTCTTTCCGCAGGGTGTTTAACTCTCCAGCCATCATAGAGCCCGTATTTAGAGGTAAGTGCGTTAAGGCGTTTACACGTAGCAGACAGTTGTTTGGATCTGCGGCAAGTGGGTTTTGCGGACGTGTCTAATAGTGGGGATTGTATGAAGTTAAGATCTCCACACACTATGAGGATAAGTCATAGAAACATGGAATGTGCCGGCAGATAAGAACCATTTGGCCCATCTACTCTGCCCAATTTTCTGGATACTTTCATTAGTCCCTGTCCTTATCTTATAGTTAGGATAGCCTTATGCCTATCCCACGCATGCTTAAACGCATGCATCCACTACCCTCTCAGTAAAGTAATACTTCCTAATATTATTTTTAAACCTTTGCCCCTCTAATTTAAGACTATGTCCTCTTGTTGTGGTAGTTTTTCTTCTTTTAAATATAGTCTCCTCATTTACTGTGTTGATTTCCTTTATGTATTTAAATGTTTCTATCATATTCCCCCGTCTCGTCTTTCCTCCAAGCTATACATGTTAAGTTCCTTTTACATTTAACATTCTACCTTGTGGAGAATTGATTGTAATACATTTTGTGAGTCTGAGTTTGTGAAATAAACCAAGATGATCATGTACTGGGTTTTATTAAAAAGGCCAACTAGTACTATGTAACGTCCTTGGGGGTCTATGTATTGCCTCTGGAGGGTAAAAGCTGCATCTCTATGTATGAGAATAGGTCCACCTTTGGTCTTGTTTTCAGTATTCGTCTATGTGATGTCTTGTTTAGAAAGAATCACCGCAGAGGGCCAAACTTTCTTTTTCTCTCTTGTCCTACTACCTATCCTGCAAGTTATCATCTGTGAGCCAATTTTTCAGAGTGTATAAGGGCAGTGTCGATTCCGGCCATTGACAAGATACAAGACCGTGAGTTACCTAATGATGCATTAGCTCTATCAGAATAACAGTGGGAGGTATTAACTCAAACATAAATAAGAAATAAACCAATATAAACAGATATCGATAGGCTCTGCGGGTGTGCGGTGTTATACTCAGCCTCATGTTTAAGCCGTGGATCAGTCTGCAGACCGTCTGGGAATGCCCAGTGATAGGTGACATCTTGTGCTCGCAGCACAGAAGTGATCAGTGTCATGGATTTCCTAAATTGGAGAGTCGAAGCTGACAGGTCTTCAAAGACTTTCAAGCTGGTGGAAGTCTCCCTGGCCGCTTAAACAATCTTCTCCATCACATGGAAGAAGTGTATTCTGGTTATGATGTCTCTTGCAACCAACACAGGGAGATGTTTTGTTTTGGTCTCCCTGGCCACTTTAACAATCTTCTCCTTCACATGGAAGAAGTGTATTCTGGTTATGATGTCTCTTGCAACCAACATAGGAAGATGTTTTGGTCTTCTGAGCCTGTGCGCTCTATTCAGTACAACCTGGTCTGGATGTACCTCAGCTATTATTACTTGGAAAAAGATTGAGAGGTAGGTATGCAGATCAGCGTTGGAAACTGATTCAGGAATACCTCTGATGCTGATGTCATTCCTCCTGGATCTGTCTTCCAGGTCAGCTATTTTAAGGTTCTGTTCCTTTATGATGTGATATAGCTGCTGGAACTTGTCTGCCATGCGGTTGTGTGCTGTGGCATATTTCCTTATCTTGTTCTCCAGGTGGGACTTGCTTAGGCCCAAATCCTGCAGCTCTTTCCTGAGTTCTCCAGCCAGTGATGTCATCTGGCCTGTGATTGTGTCCTGCAAATATTTAGAGATGTCTGCCATAAAGGACTTCATTGTTGCCACAGTAAGGGGAGCATCCTTCAGTATTGGTGCTGGCGAGGAGGGGGCAGATGGTGATCCCTCTACTGATCCTGCCTGCCATCATCTTGGATATCCTTGCGGCCTTTGTGGAGTCTGATCGCTGTGGCTTTGGCAAGGAAGAAGGAGCCTTTGTCTACTTTGGTCGGTTTTGGCTTGCTGCGCTGGGACATCGCGCCGGTTTCTGTGTCCTCATGGCAGTCAGTAATGCTTTGTAGCCCAATTGCTTTGCTCCCTGTGTGGTTATCTCACCAGAGCTCTAAGAACACACATCCATGCGGCTCGAGTGTTGGGCCACTACCCCAGCTTTATATGTGGACATTGTAAACGTACATGATTTACAGTACTGATAAAACCAATTACAAATCCAGAGGCTTTTAATGGAAAGAGTATTTTGAGCAAAGGAAACATTATATTTGCACACTCTAACCTTCTAAAATATCAGCATCCCCACTATGTAAGGCACCCAGGCCTCTTATAGTAAAAAAAAAATGAATAAATGTAAAATGATAAGAGAGACTACATAGCTTCAGGCATAAAACATGTAAATAAAGAAAAGTGTTAGAGTTTATCAGACTATTGAGATCTGTGTAAAGCAAACAGACAGTAGTCCTAGGTTGTTTTTTGTATAGGGAAAAAAATCCAAATAGGTGAAGGATTTAATGTCCCCAAAAATATTGTAAAAAAATATATATTATATATTGCTCAGTGGAAAAGAGATGGAAAGAAAGAAAAATTTAGGGGGGGAATTAAAAAGTATATACACACTTAAGATAGGCCTTAAGATGGATTTGAAGCCACCTGTAGCCAGTAAGTCAGTATGGAGGCCATTTCCTCTCAGCACATGCCAGTCTGCTGTCATTAGTTCCTCGAGATGCACATGGTATGAACTGCATGTTGGTGGACAATTTAAGAATGCGGTGTCACAGTCTTGCTTACTTCTTGCAGGTCCTTCACACACTGTATTAATTCTGCTCAGTGAAAGCAGAGAGGCTTGTGCTAAGAGAAGAAATGACAATTATACTGCTGCTCCCACACTGCACAATGCTATACCACCCACCAAGGTTGATATAATAATTAAAGGGTAAATGCCACTATATATATGCAAAAATCCAAGAAAGTGCTAATGTTCTAACATGTATTTGAAGTAACATAGCATTTAGACCCTCCTGTGATATTGTTATCAAGAAACATACTGTGCCAAGAAACAAACATTTATAAATAGCATATATCAAACAATAAAGTGAACTCACCAATGGAGTAATCTCTGATGATGAGGTTACCAGGCATATCCCATAAGCGTCGGTAATGCAGAGGTTCATGGCATAAGTAGGTAGTCCCACAGCCATACTTCCACCAATCACATAGAATGAACATCATTGCTTTATAAACTGATAGCAGCCAACTGAACAAAATTGATATAGGCTGCCCAGAAAATAACATTCTGGCTGACTGACTGTTCTTGGGACTGTTTTATGGTTGCAGTGGGATTTATTTTTTAGTTTTTTTGTTTGTTTTCCATTTTAAGCCCTTAAGGACACATGACATGTGTGACATGTCATGATTCCCTTTTATTCCATAAGTTTGGTCCTTAAGGGGTTAAAAGTAAATTCAAGATTACTTAATTGGACTTTTTTAGACAAGCCATTTGCTTTTCATACTAGGCAAATGATTAGAACAATGTAACAACACAATGGATTAGAAAATACATACAGGGATTGTGGCCTACCAGATAATGGAGTAGGACGCAGTACTTAGGGGCTCTGTGTCTTAAGCCCACATAGCCCCTTACCTAAGCTCTCCAGCCGCCTGCAATGGGGAAAACTAAGCGCACAGTGACCACTGCACCCCCCGGTATGAGTTCCCCACGACAGGGAATGGGCCTTATGGATGATTTTGTATCCACTCCGGATGGGCCCCGCCACGCGCGGCAGCCAGGAGGTCCCTGAGACCCCTGACCTGCATGCTCCAAGAGAAGAGGATTCCATTTCAATACCATGCAACAAGACTAAAGGTGTATCAATCTTACTGAGTTATCGATTAACTTTTGAACAGATAGCAACACATATAGATCCAGAAGGCAGATTTCTTATTTTAATTTGTATAATAAATAATACTACATACACTATAGTGAATGCATACTTTCCCAACGTGAACCAAAAAGATTTATGTAGTCACTCATGAATAAAATAACTGAACTCCAAACAGGCATTGCGATTATCATAGGAGACTTCAATCATGTCTTAGATCCTAATATGGATTCAACAGCAAACCATTCATACATAAGAAGTGTAATACTCTTAATAAAACTTTAACAGGCTATGGACTTTATGATATCTGGAGAACGTTCCATCCTAATACTAGAGAATATACGCATTACTCCCTAGCTCATAATACATATTCATGTATATACGTTTTTTATATGCACAGTTCACACTTAACACAAGTTAAGTCTTGTGAGATTGGGGTATCGACGGAATCAGATCATAATCCAGTTATACTTAATTTAATGGATCAATACAATTATACAAACAGAAGCCCATGGAGACTAAATGATCAGTTATTAAACAATCCTATATTTTTGGATAAAATTCAACAAGAAATACGCCAATATTTTAATACAAACAACTCTGGAGATACAAACATTACAAGATTATGGTTAGCGCATAAACCAGTAATAAGAGGTCTATTTATCAGCAGAGCTTCTTACCTTAAAAAGTCTAATCAAACAACTCTGCTGAACCTCCTAAGGAAACCTCAAGATCTCCATAAACAGAATCAGGCAAGATCATCCGTGTTTTTGCAAGGCAGCATACAA